GACGGCGGCTTAATTAGCACTGAGAAACTGTCAGCTAGGAGTCGTGTTCCTTGTAGATCCATGGGGATCGGCTTGGGTTGACCAGTGATTGTAAAGCTGTTCATCGCCAGGGGTTTCGGATGGGAAGTGTTTAAAGTCGGTTTGTTCATTGTACATTAAAGATTATGTTTGTACTCAGCAGGAGTGTGTCTTAAGTGTGTCTAGGCTAGTTAGAGTCTGTTAGCTGGCCTTCCTAGCGAGCCATATTAAATGTACAGAGTAAAGTAGGTCCCTGACAAATATATAACATGAAAATAAATACTACTAAAGCTGAAGTAATGCAGGTCAGCAGAATTTCTAGTCTGTTTCATATCGGGTTATATGGTACATGTCTGAAGCAAGTTAAAGAAATTTAAATATCTAGGAAGTATATTCTTGGAGGACGGGAGAATAGATCAGGAAATAGAAACAAGATGTTATTAAGACATCAAACATTATAAAAAGCATTTTCATACCAATTCTGTGCTACCAGGGCCAGACTTGGACATTATCAAAGGCTAACCTACGTAAAATTAATACCTGCGAAATGAAATGCTTGAGAAAAGCTGCTAACAACCATCCGAGACAAAGTTAAAAATGATATTATCAGACAGACTGTAGGAACAACACCATGCAGCAAATTCCTTGAGAAACAGAAGATCAAATGATTTGGTCATTTAGTCAAAATGCAGCCAGAACAACAGCCAATGCAGGTGCTACATACGAAAAGATCTGAATTGAAAGCAAGAAACCTGCCTAGGAGGATTGATGATATTAAAGAAACTTCTACATCAACATGAAATGACAGTACCCATTGCTACCCATCAAGCAATGGATCGCAAACTGTTCTTACCCACAATACTGTTCATCAAAAGTCGAAATTGATGATGATGATGACAGAATGAATTAAATAGGTGTGATCCCTGTGTGGGTTTCGGGGCCCTATTATAGGGAAAACAAGAATAGACCCACTGCCTACCCAAAAGCATGTCGTAAGAGTCGACTAACTGGGAGCTTCCTTGAAAGTCAGAATACATCTGCCTGAGAGGCAAGGAACCAGCAGTCTGCATACAAATGAGTCAGACTTTAAAACGGATGCACATGCAACACTCAGGTTCTGGAACAGGGCTGAAGTCCAAAAGTGGATGAACAACCAGAACTTTCCCCCAGAGTTTACAACTGGTGAATGCGAAGAAGAAGAAGAAATAGTTGTGAAACAAGGAATTATATATGGGTGTAACAGGAGTTACATAATGAGCATGACACAGACGAGTTATATAATAAGTGAAATAGAATAGGGTGCTGACAATAGCCACAGGTAGAAACTGACAGCTCCGAAACAGAAGAAGAAGAAAAACCTAGCCAACTGAAGAAACAAACAGAAGCAGACGAGGAACATGGCAGGTGGCAAGCACAGTCCTTATCCGGACTTCTAATCTCCTCTTCATGACAGTGGATACCTCATGGGCCAGGAACTCGACAGACATAATTAGCATACAAAGAAAAGTAAACTCACGCATAAATATATGCCACAAAGATTTCACAAAGTAAAACCGCAAAGACCATTGACCATAAATATAACCAATGCCTAGCTAGAAGCAGGTTGAACTGGTCCACTTTTGTTTTATTTTCAAAACACCAACCAAGAGTTCAGTGGCAGCTGCCAGTGACAGAAATGGGAGTATAACAATAGAACTCAATGGTTAATATTAATCTGTCTGTGACATAAAGATATAAACCTATAGTAATGAGTAATGGTAATCTGTAAATTAACTTTTTCTCGTCACTGTGTTTCAACCCCCAGCTTAGAAGACCATGGTACATGGTGTCCCTTTTTGTCATGTACCCTTTGACCTGTCAGGGAATCCCTGCTGATAGCTACGCCACTACCAGCATAAGCTCTCATTAATTAATTCAGTGTAATAATTCAAAACTATTTTTCCACTGTGTGTTTAAATATTGAGGTAACAAACAAGGCATTGCACAACCAAAGGATCATATGGTTAATCTCTTTTTTTAGTGGTGAGATGTACAGTGTAAAAATGGACTATGATTTGTGTATTTCAGTTGAACATTTGAATTTTTTAGAACATTTGCTTCATATGTTCATATAAATTCAATAGTAATTGTGTTTTTTTCTCCCTCTGGTTTTGCTGCTTGAAGGATTAACATCCAGTGACCCAATACAGATGAGAATCCAACAGAAGCCAATCCCAGACACCATGTTCACATGTATAACACAGGAGCACCCAATGGTTAAGAAGTAGCCTGTAGTCCAATTTTGGGAGAGACAGAAGACTGGATCTTTAAAAATAATGCTACCCCTGTGTGGGTTTCGGGGGCCCACTGTGAGGGGAGGGGAAAAGGGGGGAAAGGGTGTGTGTGTGAAAAATTAGACTTACTGCAAGTTGGAGTGCATCTGCCTGACAGGTGAGGAATCAACAGTCTACATTCAAATAAGCCAGATCTGTAAACCGGATGGTGCACACAAAACTCAGATTCTGGAACAAGGCTCTGGTCCAGAAGTAGTTGAAACAACCAGAACTGTCTGCCAGAGTTTACTGCTGGCGAATGTGAAGAAGAAGAACAAAAACAATGCAGTGAAATATGCCAGGTAGTAAATTATGCAGTATACATGTGTGCATCATTATTTTAAGGGCATTAATCTTAATGAACATTAGGCTATGAATAAATGCACAATTTAAAAACATGTAATCCTTAGTTAAAGATGATATTTATTAGCACTTTAAAACAAATTACATAAAATGCATTTCATCATCAATAATTTTATTATTTACATTAAATGTAGAAACTTCACACTACCTCAATAACAATAAATGTAACAATAAAAAATATGAAAGAAGGCAATGCATTTTTTCCTTACATTTTAGAATAAATGGTGGCCATATTATTATGTTTTGTTCATGAATCGGTCTATCCAGCGCACATGCAGAACTTCCTGCCTGTTTGAAGTCTTGACAGATTGTACTTTAGACAAAACTTTGAAAGGTTTAGCAGTATTTATTGAGGCAAGCTTTGAAAAGTTTAAAAGTATTACTCAGGTATTCTTTGAAAAGAAACTTTATTTAAGGAAATTAAGAACATCAGGAAATAATTAGGACTGTTAAAGGAATTTTTCAAAAGGGGACGTATGTAGATTCAGTGTGGTAATTTTATCACATGTACGGGAGGAAGTTATGTCAACACGATTACAATCAACTAAGTAAAGGACCCTCTTTACTCTAGTGGGGCATCAGGCATATGATGCTAGATATATAATTTTATAGACCGTAGGGTTGCGATATCTACAGTACCGAGCCAAAGGGTTTCAACTCACAGTTTCTGGATTAAAAAAAAAAAAATAGACCAAATAGAATTTAGTGGGTGATGTATCTAACATAAAGCTAGTGAGCTTTACTTCCTAGGAAATTACCTACTGCTTTTTTTTTTTAAGGCTAGTCAGCCAGAAAACCAAGGTTAATTTAAATAATAATTATATTAAACTTCATTCAAATTTAAACCCAAGACCTTTAGACTACCAGGTGAGCCTCTAGCCACTATGCTACTAGGTAAGTAAAAAAAAAAGTAAAGATCCCTTTTCACGCCTTTCGGCGCATCGGGCATATGGGCAGAGCGTCCCATATTTTTACAGACCATCAGCACTCTTTGGGTAATGTGGTCAGCATTACGCCGGCTGTCTTTACTTTCCCAGGACAGCCCATCCTGGTACCCATTTTAGGCTGGGTCGACCTGCGACGTCCCATACCACGATAAAAATCCATGCAGCCTGCAGTGGGTTTCGATCGCGGTATGCTGGCTTACGAGTCGGACTCGCAACGCCTTAGCCACGGACGCCACTTGCTACTAGGGCTGCCGCAGTATTACATGCTGCAAGAAATAGGAATATAATTTTACAGTAGGGGGTTCCATGTCCATGGCAAAGTGGTTTAGCTGTTTGTCTCCCAGATCCTTTTTTTTTATTTGTGAGTGCAGGTGTTTGGGGGAATACTGGGCGTTGTTGCTTTCTGTGATGCTCAAGCTGAGGCATGTGGGAGAAAACCTAGGGCGATGAAATAGATCATTTTGTCTTTAAATACTTTGTTGTTGTTGACAGTATACAAAGATCCTCAATTAACTGCCCTCCAGTGTCTTACATTTTATGATGGAAATACCAGAGTAAAAGAGCTTTCTCCACACCTGGCCTGAAACAGCATAGCTACCTAGTGACATATCAAGATGCAAAACACCATCTCATCATCATCATCATGTAGATGGTCTGACTGAAAGAAACTTGGTCTCTAACCAGCTCTCTTGCCTTATGTACTTTCATATTCAAGGAGTCACCTAAATCCTGTACCCATCATCATGTTGTCGGCCCCTGCTGCTCCTTCCTAGTACCATGTATTCTGAGAAAAGCTGCCAACTTAATAATCTGAGACAAAATTATAAATAATATTACCAGACAGACTGTAAGAACAACACTGGGCAGCAAATTCATTGAGAAACAGAAGATCAAATGGCTTGTTCATTTAGTAAGAATGAAGCCAGAATAACTACCAGTGCAGGTGCTAGACATGAAAAGATTTAAAGTGAAAGCAAGAGGCTGCCCTAGGAGATACGGACTGATGGCATTAAAGAGCTTCGACATCAACATAGACTGATAATAGCCAATGCTGCCCATCAAGCAACGGATCGCAAACTATTCCTTTCCACAGGGCTAAACAGCAGAAGTGGAAATTGATGATGATGATGATAAATGCCCCAATATCTTCCACGGTGCAACTCTTGTACCACGGTCGAAAATACAAGTGGTTTGAAACAAATAATTAACCAATTGCTGTAGAAATCAAACTATTACTCAGGGATCATGGAATCGTTAACCACACTCAATAACCTCTAGACCACAGAGCCACAGGCATTTTTACAACAAAATGGTGAAAACACAACTTCAGAAACAGCTCTGTAAAGACTTATCCAGGCAACTATGTCTTTCTGCGGTTTATGTGGTCATAAATAACAGCTTGGATGTACTTGTTGGTGTTAATCACATGCCGCTCTGAGTTGTCACCTGGAGTGGGAGCCTAGCAAGGGAAGTAATAATTACAGCAGTTGTAATCATGTAAGGCAAATAGTAAATAAAAGGACTTGTTTTCACAGCTGGGTGCTAGTCCCATATTTTGATAGACCATAATTTTATAAGAGCTTTTGGTAAAAGAGGAAGTAAAGAAGACAAATAAAGAGAGAAGAACGTGTACTTACCACACACAAAACTTGTGAGGAGATGTTTCTAAGCTTCACCATAGACAAAACAAACTTTTTTCTAAATCCATAAATATTTTTACTAGAGTCTTAGAGTTGTATCATACTTCCTTATGCAACCAGCTTTTTTTTTTTTAAGTGTTTATTGTGTACACAAATTATTTATAAATTCTCTTTGGTTCAAACAGAAGCAAAATCACTCAAACCATATGGGATAAAACTGGCAATAATGAGGTTAATCTTCCTACCTTTATGGAAATCCCTGTGATGAAATCTGCTTCCTGCTCTGAAGGCCCTGGGTTCAGTTGTAGGCTGTTTGGTACACGACTGTACGAATTCAGAAATCTTTGGTGGTGGCTCATATGGGATCAAACCTAGTGCAGCAGAGGTTATCCTCATGTCTTCAAATCTCTTTCTTTTTCTTCTTCATTTGCTCTTTAAAGGGCGGTTAGGATGTGGTGCTGTAGTTTACAGTCTTCACACAGGGCAGTGTGGTTTTCACTGGTACAGGAAGCCAACAACTACAGGCTGAACCGTTTGCTACGAAGTTGGAATTATGATTATCCGATTACAGAGATCTACTTTTCTGGGTTCGTTGTGATGTATCCAATTGTCACATTAACCTGCTCAGTGTATTACCATTATTATATTAACCTCCAAAACACAAGCATTTATACTTAAAGTAACAATTTTGTAAAACAGAAAGATTTAAAGTGGCATCATTCCAGGAGACGTGGGCGTCAATGGGAATGAAAGAGCTGACAGATTGGCTGGATCTGCCATTCCTTTTGACGGTCAACCTATGGATCATGCTGATATTATTAAAGTCCTCTGAAACTGAAATACTTTACTCAAACAGCACTGAAAGGAATGGCTCTTGGAGGAAAATTCAGGTGTTGACTGGCACCCAGATGGTTATAGGATGTTGAGACACTTTGAGCATGAAAATACGTTAAGCAATTTGGCAAGGGACTGAAATCCTTATAGGCAGGCTGTGTCAGAAAGTGGTGTTTTGCAAGGAAACTACAACATCATGATGCATTCTGCCCAGAATAGAAGTACAGCAAAACCTCATCAACACAATTTCCAAGTAGCCTAATAATGTTCGTCATTAAAAAAATAAATTTCCACTATTGATTGTTGAATTAAGAATTGACATCGCAGCACTTGGGACACTCACATAAGGGCTCCGTCCCCGTCTTCAGCAGCAGGCAAAAAGTTCCACTTCCGAAAGAATATCTGTCTCTCCCTTTCCTTGAGAGTTGAGCATGAGCCTGATCGCCTGGTAATTCTCTGCAGCGCCAATATCCTCAGACCGTAATAATCTATTTGTTTCTCCTCACTGTTCACTCACTCCCAAAGGGCCCTCACAACATCTAGCTTGTCATACATCAATTCACCATCAAGTGGTGCAGAATTGGCCAGTCTATCTGCCTGCTCATTTCCCAACACACTGGTATGACCTGGAGAAAATATCCAAAGGACACTAACTACCGGGGACCTCTGAAGTGATGCTTGTCACTCTGCATGAAACATGCTTGTCTCCATCCTTCTCATGTTCGTGTGAGTCAATTACAATCACGACATGTGTGTACAGTTGATTCTCAAGTAGAAGGCAGCAATGATTGCCACCACCTACATTCTCAGCTAGATGGTATGATATTATATGCCATACTTTGTTGCACTAAGTGACGTCCATTTGCTTTTGCACTTTGTTTGCCCCTCAGTACAGAGCCATCTGTACAGATAATCACATCACCTGTGCGTGAATGGTCAGAATCATTTACTGCAGCACCAGAAGGCCAGTCCCTGCACTCATAACCTAAAGTGATAAGAACTCTACACAAGTCTGAAACTTGCTCAGACTGTTGACCCACTCCTCTCCTTGGCCAAATATATCAAGTCTGCACACATGTCTAATTGTGTCTTCAGGTTGCAGGAGGGGCTTCTTGTCTGCAGCTACTCTGAGCTATGACTTTGCTTGCAGAACTTTGAGCCTATCTGCAATAGTACGCAGTGTAAGTATATATCGCATACATACTACTAGGGTATCTCTTGTACATCCCAGTATTACTAATTAATTTGTTCCATAGTCCATTGCTACCATAATCTTGAGAACATTTCACCAAAATTGCCTCCACACGATCCCTAAAGGACAGGCTTCTATGGAAAATGATACCCAGGTACCTCAGTTTGTTTTCTCTTTTGATGTTACTGTTATTAACTGTGAGACATGAAACATCAGCTCTTACAATTTTATCATCCAGAGAGCACCACAAACATCCCCCTTTTCTGAGTTTATGACAGAGTCCATTTCTGCACACCAGTTAGTCACTTTGTCTACAGTTGCCTCTAGCTCACGGGCTATCCGTTGCCCACATCTCCCCTGCCTATACATAAGAACATCATCTGCAAAGGTCAATATCCTTCCAACACCTGGTGCTTCACGTTCTGCAATCTTGCTTGTATACACAATTAAGAGCATTGGTAAAATTGCAGAACTCTGGGGTCCCAAGGCGATATTACATGGTTCTGAGGTCCACATACCCAGGTGAAGGGCAACCATACATGAATGCAGAACTGCAGCTATCCAGTTCAAGTCCTTCCAGCCAGGGAATAATAACAATAATACATCCTTGCTGGGACCAACTTTGTTTTCATGTTAACTGAGTGTTTTTCTTAAGCAAGGTTTTACTGTAGTTGAAGAAGGATATTTAGAATATTATACAAAAACCTTATAATTGGCAACTATGAACCTCGTTTAACTACAGTGAAAAGATAGAAAATACAATGGTACGATCATGTAATAAGATCTAATGGCCTCTCAAAAACAATACTACATGGCTCAGTTGAGGGGAAGAGGAGAAATGGCAGATCTGGAAAAACCTGGATACAGAACTCTGACTGACTGGACAAACCCTGGGTATGCATTCATAATGTCCATCACACCCGACTGCCAGAAGGTGGAGGGAGCTGACCAGACAGTCAATAGCAACTGATGACCCAATGAAACAGTTTTACAAGATGATGATGATGATGATAAGAAATCTTTGAGTAACAAGGAGGAACACAATTAAAAACACAAAATTATAAGAATGCTAGGACTCAAATAAGACATACAATACATTAAAGAATAACAGATAAAGGTTATTCCATTTCATAAAAATGCGCTAGTACCAGCTAAAACAAAGGAGAACAGGGATGAAATTTAATGAGCACAAAGCAAGAGAAAGACCATACAAAATATGGAACCATCGCATCACAGGCAACCTTAAAGAAGGAAAACACAATTTATATGATGCATTAGAAAAATGTATACAGAAGATATACCCCCAAAATTAAGCTGAGATAACTATAGAAAGATAAAACGAAGATGAAGAAGAAAATTAGAAAGAAATAATTTCTATTTTTATTTGGAGATAATGGTAGTTTCTTAGCTGCTTACCTTAGGGTCAACATTTATTATCTTTCTATCCCTCTTGTTCTTAAATAGCAGCCCTGATGCATTCTCTGCAATCACCTGGTAGTTGGGGGTTGGGTTGGATGTCGATGTAGTTGTCTCCCAGTTGTAGAAGCTTGAGGAATAACAAAAAGTGTAATGGAGATGTTTTTAAAGAACTTATAGAGAGAGCTGATTGCTGGAATAAGAAGTAGGCTTAAAATTTAACAAGGACATCAAAAGTCAAGCACATACTGAGAGTCAGCAAAGGGTTTTCAACACTGAGGTCACTGCTGCCCAGTTTAGCCATTCCAATAAAAGAATATGCATGTTTCTTGAGGTTAGTCTGATCTGTCTATTGGGTTCTGATTCTGCTGAAGGCCTTAATGTCCAACACAAATTTTGTATCCACACAAAAAATGTCTCTTGCTGTAACCTCTCACCCTATTTATATTTCCCTCTGCAGGTCATTTCCTATCCAATATTTTACTCTTGCAATGACACATGCAGACCTCTACTGTCTAAGCAATGATGGAGATTTTGTGCCAGTGCTCATCATAAAGCTAAGTGATTTTATGTATTCTTCTATCACTGAGTATTTTGTAAGCTGATGAAGGCTTTGTGGCCGTGTCACGGAGTAAACAACCAAACCCTACACTTTGGACTAGTCGTGACATTGGCGCCCCTAGCGGGCCGGTCACATTTCCAATTTAAACCCGTCCGGTGGGTATATAGTCCCTCATATTGATATATACCTCTATCTGGTGGAATGGATATTTCTATACCCTCTAGTTGTTTCTACATTTTCAAACTTGCAACTGTGGGATAGATATTTTCTAGAATAATATTCCGAATTCCTGGAAGCCTTTTTACTCCTCGGTGCACTAATACAGGACTTTTGTTTCTAGAGACGCCAAGCTAAATCTGGTGGGGTCATTCTTTGCCAGACTTCTGAGGCGTCCAGACGTATTTTCACCTCTCTCTGATTAAATCTTGGCGCATTCAAAATACCAGTTTAATCTTTGAAGGATTCCTAAGCTTGGGTAAGTTGATTATAGTTTACGAGTACCATGATAAATGTCTCTTTAAAGTTAGCCGCTGCTGCAGGGAGAAAAGATTCAGCGGTGTGACCACACAGAACTAGGCCGTTCTTGGTGTCCAGACACTCAAGCCCCTGAAATCAAACCTTTCCCCTTCGCAGGCTAATAGTTTGTGCCTTGCAAGATCCACACCATTATAAAGATATTAAACCCAGCAATTTAATTTCGTGTTTTATTCCCTGTGGTAATATCAACGTAAAAATAGCTAGAGATAAAATAAACCCTCCTTATAATACATGAGTGTGTACTTTAAAATTATTCTCAGGGACATGTCAAAGCTGTTAAGAATGTTTTTTGGATTTCTCAAACTAGACTTTTATTAAACTGATTATAAAATAATACGCTGAAGTTCTAACAGAAATGTCTGAAATAAAATTACACAGGGCATACAACTATGAATCAACTCATGTCTAGGAAAATATTGCTTGATGCTAAAATTAACTACAGGCATTGAGATATTTCATGAAGAGGAATATGTACCCATTTACTCATATGGGTTCCAGTTCAAGAATATTCACACTATACTGTTATCAAGTTTTATGTATTGTTTGATTAAGAAAATTGAGGCCTCATTTTAGACATAAACTGCCAAAAGGAGGAGATTATAAGAGAGTGTGTTCAAAGTTAGAGGGGGGAAAAAAGGAAAGGACTAATTTGTAACCTTTGTAGTACTGAATATATATTTCTATAGACCAAGCGGAAATTGAGGTGTGATGTGGTCGATATCCTACCGGTTGCCTTTTTCTTTAACTCCTAGAATGTGTGTATAGCCATCTTATTGTGACCCAGTACTTCCACCAATGACAAACTGCATTTCTAATGATGACTGTTGGCTTTGGCGCCCCTAGCAACTGCCATATGCATTTACTGCATGGGTATATTTCTGGATTGTGCCAGAACAATTTTTTGTACACCAGTTTTATTCAGAAGGGACAGTGAGGGACATTTTATTTTATATTCACTGGCACAGGAACAAAGTTAGTATGGGGTGACCCGATTGCAGTGGAGTTGAAACCTCTACTAAGACTAAGACTCCTAGGACACTTTCATTTTTTGTTGTTGTTGCTTTGACACAGATTTGGACAAATGACCACTAGGGCGGGCTGGTGGGCGCACAGGCGGGGGAAGATCCTAACCTGCTCAGTTTGTAGCCACTGCACACTGGCCATGTTTGCATTAAATCTGCAGGCTTAAGAGCTCCAGTCCTACACCACTCTAAGACTGGCAGATGCAGGCAGTAAGGACAGTTTCTATGCAGACTCCACAAATACTTTTTCTATTTGTTTCAGTAGCTGTTATAACTTACCTCAAGTCCGATGGCCGTGGAAGGAGACGTTTTTTGCCACTAAAATAGGGTTCAAAATCTTCTGTTTTCAACCTGAACGCATAATCTATGTAACCTGAGATTTCCTGTCCTCTAGAGTTGCGGTCCCTGATAAAGATAATTGACTGAGAAAGAAAAGAAAAAGATTATACAAAATGAAAATTCCAATACACATAACAGACATTAAAGTAACAGTTTATATGTCATGCTTATCTGAGAGGGATTAATCCTATCAGTACCAAGTTGTTGTTACTTTGACTATATACATAGGGGATCTCAGTGGCGAAGTGGTCAAGTCGTTTGCCTTGCACTCTGAAGATCATGGGTTTATTTCACAGCTGCACCATTTAGTTCACAGGTGCAATTTTTACGGGGATCCTTGGGGATCGTCACCGGAGCTACGGAGGTCGTGCTCTGTGTGACACTCTTGGCAAGCAGCTAGCTGTTTTGTAGAGAGAAACTGAGCCATATGGGATAAAACCTAGTGCAATAAGGTCGATCCTCTCAACATTACCTTTATCTTTGCTCTAATGAGGTATTGACCTTAAAAGCAATAATTACTAAATTTCTGAAGGCGTTCAACACAGACAAACTGGGACAGAAGTAGCTAAACTAATAATTCAGATACAGAGGGAAAATACAACATTTGATAGCAAGAGGCTTATATGTCTTTGGAAACAACTATGAAATATCTGGTATGGTAGGGACTGAAAGAGTTAAGGAAAACAGATGAACTATTTTGGTCCTAGGCTGTTCTAACATTAGTTATTCTAAATAAAGTAAATTGTGTATCTTCTTTAGTTCCTTCAATTTGTTGATGTGTATTTATTCATAGTTCCAAAATATCCCATGCCAAGTGTTCCTGTCTTTATAGCCATCTCTTGAAGTTTTTTCCATGTAAACATCATGCCCTTTTATAGCTTTCCTGCTGTCAGCTCATTGTGATATATACAACTTTAAAGTGTTGGAGATATGTTGAAGCCAACCATCAGTGTGGGGATGGCGTTTGATTTATGTCTGAAAACACTTTATGTCCTAGTCTTCAATGTTCTGTTTATCATAGTTCCCCCCAAAATTGCATGCCAAATGATCCTGTCTTTATAGCCGTCTTTTGAAGTTCCTTCTTTGTTTAATATATTACCCTTTTATAGCTTTCCTGCAGTCAACTCATTGTGATATGAACAACCAAAGCTAAAATATTGGAGATTTACTGAAGCCAACCATCAGTGTGGAGATGGTACTTGATTTCTGCAGGAAACACTTTATCTCTATGCTCTAATCTGTAAAGCATCTTTATTTAGAAAGGCTACTGAAATACACAATAAAGATTCATTTTCTTCTGCCCTCTGTCTCTCATTGGAACATCAGTCCTAAACTAACTCACACTATCTGCTGCCATGTCCAGCAACTTACTGCATGTTTTCTCCATATTTGTTTTCCTTTTACCGTTGCTCTAATTTACTTCTCTGTTTTAAGATCCCACCCTACCTCCATTTTCCTTGTAGGTTCCAATGAAAGGTCATTTTAGTTATACTGTTATTCAAATTTACTCATCCCATGGCTTTGTGGTATGCAGATTTTTCTCACCAAGCACAACATCTGAGATTACGTCAAATTATTCCCCCCTTTGTAGTCTTTGCAGACACTAGTCAAGGTTTGGAGATAATCAGGAAATATAAGAATGTCCACATGATATAAGAATTTTATATTAACAATAGTAAAACACATCTGCAGTCAATTAGGAATTTTTTGCTTACTGTCATCTTTCCATTTCTGTTGGCTGCTTCTCTCACAGCAAGAGCTGCGAGCAAAGGGTCTTTGATAATTTTATCATCACTTGCCAATTTTCTATTAATGAAATAAAAAGTGACACCAGTCAATGATTAAAAGAAACTAAAAAAAAAAAAAAAAAAAAATAAATATACATGTAATGTGATTTAAAGTATAAAATTATCAAATGTTACTATTTCTTTGAAGAGAGAGAAAAAAAACATTTCCTAAGCATCTATTTATCAATAGGTAAATAGGTGAGCAGTCTAGTGTTTTTGTTGTTGAAATATGTGTGTGTGTGTGTACATGATATGGGAAAGAATGGACTCTAGAACTTGTTTACATTGACAAGATATATGGAAAAAAAGCAAGGCAAAAGCAAAGAAATAAATACCCCCCTGGATGGCTTGGCCAAATGGATGGGGTGAAACAGCAGTTCTGACCTGATCCATGATAATGGTGATCATGTGAAGAGGTAAAACATGACCACCTTTGTTTATCGGCAAGGCACATGATGATGATTTATCAATTTATAACAAAGTGACATTAAATTCTATTCAGTTTGAAACAGCCATCTTACTTCTGCTGGTTATTCTGAGCCAGTCTGCTGGCTTCTGCCGCACGTTTTCTTGCCTCAAATTCTTCTCGTTTTAATACTTCTCCACTGCCACGATACCCTAACTCTACAAGCTGTCTTGCCAACTCTTGATCCTATATCAATTTAGAAGAAAAAAAATTATTTAAAAAAAAATGTTAACACAAATTTTTTGGGTAAATTACGCTTGTGTGGAAAAACTAAACAATGTCTGCAGTCATCTTTCTTGACTAATAAAAGCATTAGAAATTAACTTTTTGAGTCCCAGGAGGTTTAGCATCAAGTGGTAGTCAAAAGAAACGTAAAATCGGCGCATCTTGCGTTTACTGGGCTTCTAGGTAGGAACCTATAAACATATGTTGCATTCCTGGGAACTCAAAGAGTTAAGAAGTTGAAACTCAGCTAATTATAAAGAATTACAATAAACAACACTTTGAAATTACTTGGCCCAAAACAGGAAAAACATTTTGTGATCGGAAAAGCCAACGAAACAAACGACACAAGCAACATGGCAGTTAGACGCACTCACATAACTAACATCGTTCTTCCGACGCACGACTTAGTTGCCGGGAACGACTATCGTGACTGACGCTTGGCGAGGCTACAGCAACGTGGCAAACTTACGGCATGGCATCTATCTGCACGAGGTAGTAGTCCACCAGACCAACTTCGTCGACGCCGTACACAGTCACATACACACACAAACAATTGAGGGCCTCTGGATGCTGGTCAAACGCACAATTCGCCAACGACTGGGCACCAGCCGCACACTATTGGCGTCATATTTAGCAGAATTTCAGTGGCGCCACGCCCACAAACATCAGATTGTCGGCCAGTATTTCGAAACCCTACGTCAAAATTTTCACATCTAACCCTAACCCTACCCCTAACCCTACCCTACCCCTAACCCTACCCCTAACCCTAACCCTACCCCTAACCCTAACCCTACCCCTAACTCTAACCCAACAACCGCATGATGACTACACAACCATTCACGATGCCTCACGCAACCGTACGCAACCCTACACACAACCGTATGATGATAGGTAAGTGTGTCGTTTGTTTCATTGGCTTTTCCGATCACTGTTTGCAGTGCGGCCAAGGGAGAGAACTCTGACTAAGTCGTCCAAGGCTTTTTATTCTTCGTCCGGATTTGACAGGAGAGCCAAAACATTTATATATTTATAGTCCATAGGACTGGCCAGCTAGCGCTGCAGAATCAGAAGTTCAACAAATGATTCATGACAATTCCTGCCCAAGTAATGTATACAGGTGGCTCTGTGGTGAGGGGAAGATTAAGTGCATGGGGTTTCAGAGCAAAAGCGAAAGGACGTCACTTAGTGCAACAAAGCCTGGCATATGATATCACAACGTCTAATTTGAGATTAGAGGTGGAGACTACTGCCTTCCACTGGCTTGCGAATCAGCTGTACAAACATGGTGTGATTGTCACGGACTTACCGAGAATGTTGAGAAAAGTGGAGACAGGTATGATCTGTGCAGAGTGGCAACCATCACTTCAGAGGTCCTGGGTAGTTAGCATCCTTTGGATAATCTCTTCAGGTCATGACGGTGTGTTAAGAAATGAGCAGACATATAGACTGGCCAGTTCTGCACCACTTGGTGGTGAATTGATGTATGACAAGTTAGACGATGTGGTGGTCCTTTGGGAGCAAGTGTGAACAGTGCAGAAGCGCAAACTGATTATTACGGTCTAAAGAGAATCATTCTCAGAATGATGTCGTATCGGAACTAAAATAATTTGGCCATATAAATTAAACACCAAAATGACTTAGCAAGAATGATTATTTAAGCCACAGTGCCAGCAGATAAGTAAGTTGGAGACAGATTATTGAACACTTGAAACTTATGATTGAGCTTGACAGGACTGACAGTTAACCTCACCGTCGTTGTTACCGTTAAACTGAATATCGACAAGATCACAAGAGTGACATTCGTTGGATGTCAGAATGAGAATCGAATTGTTGCTATACATACACATCAAGTTTTATACGTTATAACGTTTATAGACATGGTTTGAGAAAAAAAAAACGAACCTCCAAATAGAACAAATCTAGCGGTGTGATCTGAGAATCAAGGAAATCTTCATATGTATTAAATTCAGTGACAATGTTGTCACTACCGCCGGTGCCTTCTTCCTCCATGTTGTATGTTTACTGTTCGCCTGGTTACGCACTGACACCAGGGCTGCCGAAGTTGGCACAAATGTGGAAGAACTATTTTTTGACCCGTGCTGATATGTTTTGCTCATCATTATCACGTGCCCTGCCGCTGGCGTAAGCGTTCTTGCATCTTCATATATCTCGGTCTCTTGTCCTCTGGATCACTACAGGTGTTTAGTACTTAGATGGGTGACCGCTTGGGAATAGCACGAGTTGTAGACACCTTTTTGGGTACTTTTTTGAAAATACTCCTTTGCTTTCTTCTCTATGAGTGTCTCACTAAATCAGTATGAATGGTTTCGTTCCGATATTAATGGTGCCAGTAGCATTCTGATTAAAAGTCCGTCTTCCCTTTCCTCTGAGCCTCGAGCATCTGCCAGAACCTCTCGTCACTCCCCCCCCCCCTTTTCTCTGCATCAGTCTCACCAGACTATGGTGATCCATCTGCTCTTCCGAACTGTACACGCTCTCCCACAAGGCACCAACCACGTCTGCCTTATCATGTATCAGTATTCCACCAAGTTGTGCAGAGCCAGCCAGTCTGTCCGCCTGTTCATTTCCCAACACACCGGCGTGCCCTGTTGAAAAAATCCAGACAATACTCCCCACCCGTGTCTCCACAGCGAAGCATGCCACTCTGCACGAAGCGTACCTGTTCTGATCTTCCTCAACATGCTTTTTGAGTCAGTTACAATCACGATGTGTGTGTGCGTCATGTTTTCTAGACAGCGGAAAGCTGCAGTAACCGCCTCCACCTCAATTCTTAAGCTGGATGTTGTGGTATCATATGCTAGGCTCTCCTACACCAAACGTCGACCATTAACTTTTGCTAAGAAGCCCCAAGCACTTTTTTTGCCTTTTGACACTGAACCGTCTGTGTAAATGATCAAATCCTCGGAGCGAGCATTATCTTGAATTAATTGCTGAATTTCAGCTTCGCCTGAAGCACCTTGTGCCTACCTGCAATCGTCGGCAAACCAAGGATGTATCGCATACACACCACTAGGGTGTCTCTGATGCAACCCAGAATGACCCGCATAGCCGCGTTCTGTATGCGCTTTAGTTTGTCCATCTGACTCTTTGAGACGGTAAGCAGTCCCAGGCTATAATCTACCACTGACAGGATCAGGTGCTGATATAGTGTGAAAAGCATTCTCTGCTCTATGTCATTTTGCAGCCATAGTTTTAAGTGCACTAATTCCTTTTTGGCATCTCGTCACAACACTCTCCACGTGGTCCTTAAATGACAGGCTCCTGTCAAATGTAATGCCCAATTACTTCAGTTTGCTCTCTCTGTTGACGTTTCTACCATCTATCGTCAAACTTGGGACATTAGTTTTAATGATTCTGTTGTCCAGAGAACACCACAAAACAGACGCCTTTTCCGGGTGGACGACAGCCCTCATTGCTGAACACCACTCAGTCACTTTGTCTATATGCAAGTATATCCTCCGCAAAAGTCAGTATCCTTCCAACTCCTGGCGCTTCTAGGCTTGCAATCTTGCTCGTATATACGTTAAAGAGCACAGGCGAGATGGAGGATCCCGGTGGCAGTCCTGGGGCCAAACTGCATGGTTCTGGGTCCATGATCCCAGTCGGAGAGCAACTCGACGTAAGTGATTTAAGTGATTCTTAACATTCGACTAAGGAGCCACATTTTCGTCACCTCCACGTGTTTTCTAATTTGTGATTTCACATTTCCTTATTTACTACCATACAGCAATATATGTTCTACATAATATTTTAGTTGTTTCGGACATCCAAAGAGGAGGGACCTGTTGCACAAGATATTCTTTATTCTGTGAAATGCAGCCTCCCCCTGGTCTATTTTGCTCTTAATGTTTCACACACGGGGCCGCGTTAGCGCAATCGATAAGATACTCGCTTTCAAATCCAGCTGCGAATCGCTGCAGCCCACGGCGGGTGTTAGAAACCGGACGGTTTCCGATGTTCACCCTCCTCTGAGGTAAATGTAGGAACGTGGCTGTCGCTACGGAGTTTCGTGTGGACGGCTACACAGGCGGACAGTTTCTTATCAGATGTCCTCACTGGTTGCAGAACACATCGTTTATAACCGTGTGCTATGACGCTGGTTCACATCTCCCGACTTTACCTTTACCATCTTCCGTCTGCTGTTATGACTGTACCCATATATTTGAATTTATCAACTTGGCTCAACATTTTACCTTCTATTCTAATACCACACGGTGGTGGAATTCTTTTTATTATTTATTTATTATAATTATTATTGTTATTTTTTAGATAACAATCTCTCAGTTTTCTTTATATTCAAGGACATACCCTTTTTTTGCCCTCTTCCTCACTACAGTGTCCAATAATTGTTGTTGATCATTTGCATTTTCAGCTATCAATACTGTGTCATCTGCATAATGTATTTTGTTTATAGTATAACCTTCCCTACTGGAATTCCTTGTGTATCTTTGATCTCTCAATATCATCTCTCGCTCTCTCTCCTCCCATTCTCTCTATCTCTCTCTCTCTCTCTATATATATATCTATATATATATATATATATATATATATATATATATATATATATATATATATATATATAGAGAGAGAGAGAGAGAGAGAGAGAAAGAGAGAGAGAGAGAGAAGAGGTCTGATGACAAAACAGATCCTTGTATTACTCCTTGTTTGATCCGTTCACATGTGCTAATTCTATCTCACATTTTAATAGCTGCAATTTGCTGTCAGTAAATGTTCTTAATTATTCTGAATTATTCTGAGATCTTTCCCATCCATGTTATTATCCGTCAACATTTTGACAAGTTCTTCGTGTTTCACCTAATCAATCCTTTTGTATAATCTATAATACAAAAATACAAGTGTTTTTGTTTTCAACTGATCTCTCTGTCAGTGTTTTCCAACTTTCAGTGTTGCCAACTTATGGTGCCCATCTATCTCCGACAACGACAAACTGAATTTCTGATGGCGACTGTTAGTTTTGGCGACTTTTGAAACTGCGCGCCAATATTTCTGAATTGTACCGGGACTAATTGTTTGATCACCATTTTTTTTTAAAATGCAGCAGTGAGGGATGTTTCTTTTAATTTGCACTGCAGAAATTGAGGAGCAGGACTGTATATTGAGTATCTAAATAATACCGGATATTTAGCCAAATAACTACAGGAAAGCACTGTCACATCTATGACACTCATGAATGATACAGGTTTTGAAGCAAATTAGTGGAAACAAAATGCAATGGTGATCATGTGAAGTGGTAAAACATGATCACCTTTGTTTATCGGCAAGGCACATGATGATGATTTATCAATTTATAACAGAGTGACATTCAATTCTATTAAGTTTTAAAAAGCCATCTTACTTCTGCTGGTTATTCTGACTGTGTCGCATGGATGAGGCAAGCCAGGAAATAAATCCTGAAGGGAAAGAGGGGAAAAATAAAGGGGGGGGGGGGGGGTGGGTGATTGCAGAAAGGATGCGAGCTCAGCATCTGAGAAGAAACACACTCAATAAATGAGAGGCAATAACGGTCCTGAAATTTCATCCTCTGACTGTAGAAGACGTGTCTTAACCCGAGCGGGTCTTGCTAGCCACACTCGTATCGCCGTGAGTGACATGCCTTCACATAACACAGTATAACACTATCGGCTGGATAGACGGAAAGATGCCAACAGAAACGCTTAACCTATCTCTTTATTCCCTTTGTAAACTTTTGTTTCATTCATAATCTCTCCAGACCCACTGTATTTGCTTCTGAAATAGGACAAACATATGATAAATGTCTACATGGGACCTGTGGAGAGTTGATTAAATCCATCTACACAACACGCCGTGCACCCGATGGCTGACGTAATTAACGGAAATATCCACGTGATATCCCGCAGTTTTAGTCGAATTCCTGCTAGAGGGCCCAATGAATGCAATCTGTCAATGTCACATAACTAAAGGCAAATCTAGAATGGAGCCTGGCTCTTTCAGTAAACAATTCACGCCTGCACTTGACGGAATTGTAAACTGGTTCTCTTGACGGCCTGAAATTTTATGGCTGTGATTGATATGGGTTTGTGTCAGGAACAATAGTCGCATGAGGGATTAATTGCTTCATTTATCTGATGTAGACCTCCCGTATATGTGTGACACCAGGAAAGTTTAAAAAAGAAAAAGACAAAAACCGTTTTAGTCATGTTTTGTTTTATTAATGCGGTCAAAATGGTAAAAAGGTAAGGAAAAGTCGGAAGATGTGAACCAGCGTCATCGAACACAGTGAGGACAACTAAAAAGAAACTTTCCATCTCTGCACGCAACTCCGTAGCTACAGCGACGTTCCTCCTTTTACCCCAGAGTGTTAACGCTGGTACCCATTTCCTATAGCCTGGGTAAACAACGGGAACCGTCCGGTTTCGAACACCGGCCGTGGGCTGCAGCGAGTCGCAGCTGGTATTGAAAGTCAACTATCGCTAACGCGGACTATTATCCCAGTTTTGTCCAAGGAATTCCAAGGTCCAGTTTTTGGATAAAAGTAACATTTTTCACGCTTTTCAGGCGTATTGTATATATATAGGGCTAGACCTATATTTTATAGACCATCCGGCACATTGTGGGTGATGTGGTCAGCATCACGCCGGCCACCTTTACTTTCCAGGACTGCACCTGGTACCCACTCAAGGCTGGGTCGACCTGGAAGTCAAGGTCATTTTTGGAATAAAAAGTCCGGCCCCCGCCAGGAACCAAACCCACGACCTTTAGATCCGCAGGCAAGCGTCTAGCCGCTAGACTATGGCGGCTGCCAGTTTTTGCATGGTATATGCTGGCGACCAATTGTCACAGCGACTAATTAAAGATCAGCTTAAATCAGATTTGTACGGAGCGTGCCTGTCTCCATCTTTCCCAACATGCTCAGTGAGTCAGTTACGATGACTACATGTGTGTACAGCTGATTCTCAAGCCAGCAAAATGCTGCAGTGATTTTTAATTCCTAAAATATATGTGACTCA